TGTGAGCTACTGTTGTAGAAATGAAGTGTCAATATGTTGCCCAGATGATATCAAGTGATCCTCCTGCTTTGTCCTTCCAAATTGCTGGGATTATAGGAGTGAGCTACTGCTCCCAACTTATCTGGGTACATTCTCAAAAGAGAAGAGAGAGCTTGTTGCCCCCCCCACCCCACACACAAGTGTCGGTTTCATTCTCAGGCTAGGAGTAAATTAGCTACAGCAGTTCCAGGCCTCACATCTCTGCAAAAGATCTAAAAGAAAGAGGAGATTCAAAAGCCTTCAAGAATTTTTCCACTTGTCTTCCACTGGGTTGCATGGCTATTTCAGATCCAAATTTTATGGCTAGGAAAGTGTCATGCAATCATGGGCTTAGGCCTGAGTTCCTTAACCAATCACTGACAAGAGAGTTAAAAATTATCTTTTGAAAAATCCACTTCTGGAGCAGGGTAGGTTCACCTTCCCCAGGAGCATCCAGGTGGTATGAAAGGAAAAGTGGATATCTGTACAAAAATCTAAGTACTGCTAGGAATGACTATTTAATCAAAAATATCTACAGGAAGCCTACAAACAAATCACCAGCCTTAAGGAATGATGCTAAGGGAGTCCAGTGCATTTGGAAGCAAGATTTACTTGGGTAGGTATTTTTTTAAGACTTGCTAAATCCCTCTCTGAATTTGTAAAACAAGGGGGGAAACACTAAAATTCAACAATAGAGCTAATGATGGTTCTACGAGTCTCCCCAAAACCTAAAGTATAAAAACCACGTAAACTGGCTGATATTGGAAAACGGAAGCCCATAATGTGAGTAAAAATATTACAGGGCAACTCAGAAGAATGCCCTGAGTCAACAAAGCCCAGATTGACAAAAATTTAGTAGAGTGAGCTCGATCATGGAGTATCCAAGAGCCATATTGTAGTTTAGAATGATGCCCTCTGATAATAGATACATTTTGGCACATTAAAATTTTAAAGAGCTTATTTGAGCAAAGAACAATTCATAAATTAGGCAGCATCCAAAACCAAAAGAGGTTCAGAGGTCTACGGCAGCAGCATGGACAGTGAACTTTTACAGGCTAAGCATGGAAGTAAGACCAAGAAAATACATTTGATTTATTAGAGTGGAAATTCCCTAGGTAGAGGTTAGTTGGTTGTTTCTGATTAGAAAAGTCTCAGTTTTGTTTTACTGTTTATATTGGGCTTTGGTTTGCTTATGTGTTAAGTGCTAGAGTCCTCTCTGCCTGGTGGCCTCCTAATTTAAAGAAAATTTTAACACCTCTGAGATCAGTGATCTTATTTTTAAATTTTCTATTCTCTAAACCAGGGGTGTGACTGGAATCTACTCTTTCAAACTCCTTGATATGGACATGAGGAGTGGAAACCTGTTGTCATAGGTTGATTGTGTCCCCAAAAAGATAAATTCAAGTCCTAACCCGTGGTACCTATAAATATGACCTTATTCACAAAAAGAGTCTTTGCAAATGTAATCAGGTTAAGATGAGGTCATAATGGAGTAGGATGGGCCCTTCAACCAATATTACTGATGTCCTTATTATAGGGGAAGAGATACATAGAGAGAACACCAAGTGACAACATAGACAGGACTGGAATTGTGGTGCCACAAACCCAGGAACACCTGGGAGTGACCAGAAACTGAGAAAGGCAAGGAAGATTTCTCCCCTAGATCCTTTTAAAAGAACATGGCCTTGCCAGCACCTTGATTTCAGACTTCTAGCTTCCAGTATGAGAAGATCAATTTCTGTTGTTTTAAGCCACCTAGTTTGTGGTAATTTTTGTTTTGGTAGTTCTAGGAAACAAATATACCTATTGATTAATTACCACTAGTATCACAGTATTATTTACCCAGAATGCCTACCCCCCCCCACAAGTGACTTCCCCAGTTAATTATCTGGAACTAAGAAATTCTTTGTAGGGAAAGTTCATAGAACCTGAAGATTCCCAATAGAACATAGAAAATTATACTACTAGTTTCCCACGTATAGTGAGTCTTACAAAATTTAGTGGAATATTATTGTAGTTGAAGTAACAAATACTTAAAAAAAACTAAAAGGTATTGCCCACTTGTCAAGGGATCCTTTTATACCCATCCCCTTCCCAGAGTATAATATATCATGAGGAAAATCTGGCTTTATTAAGAAAAATAATAGTAAGGTCAGGCATGGTGGCTCATGCCTGTAATCCCAGCACTTTGGGAGGCCAAGACGGGAGGATCATTTGAGCCCAGAAGTTCAAAACCAACCTGGACAACATAGTGAGACCTTGCCTCTACAAAAAAAAATATTTTTTGATTAGCCAGATGTGCTGACACACTTCTGTAGTCCCAAGTTTTCAAGGAGGCTAAGGCAGGTAGATCACTTGAGCCCAGGATTAGAGGTCGTGGTAAGATGTGATTGTGCCACTACATTTCAACTTTGGTGGCAGAGTGAGACCCTGACTCAAACAACAAGAAAAAAGAAAAAAAAACAGCTCGGTTCTCCTTTTACTTTAAGGAAAACTCTGAAAGAGACAGATCAGGTTAAACTGCCTTAAATGGCATCATTCCACATCTTTGTTTTCTTCTTTTTCTCAGGGGTCAGATGCCTCACTATATGATATGGCAAAGATTCCCTAAAAAAAAGTGCCAGAGGCACTGCTGTTCTTAACATTACACCTGAGGAGATGAGTATGTGCTGTTAAGCTTAGGAACCATCCACGAGGATCCCTGGGATTACCTAGAGTAAATAGTGCTTAAACCCATGACAGGTAATGAAACACACGTAATACCTCCCACTGCAACAAAGAACAACACATGCTTCACCTTAGAGTTTTTGCACACTTTAGATCTTGGGCCATCCAAAAGGCTACACTCTTTCGCAGAATTGAGAGGAGACTCAGTGATTGACCTTGGCAAGTTACAAGCCACAGTTTGGTCAACTCTACTATATGGGTCCTATAAGTCAGAAAGAAAGATTAGACTTGAGGTCTCTGTGATTTCACCTCTCCCACCAAGATAATTTGGGGGGAAGGGAGGAGGAAAGGTCCTATAAGGAAAATTATAGAAGTACTTAGGATTTTGGACTAAGGTAATGCTTG